AAAAACAGAGACAGAGAGATGGAAAGAGAGAGGGCCAAAAAGATAGGAGAAAGAGAGAGAGGAGAGGGACAGAGAGGTAGACAGAGAGAAAAGAATGACAAGAGTGATTCATAAGCGATCCAATATAAACTGAGACTAGCATAATATTGCATCTTAAATAAACACTCTCAATTTAGCTTTACTCTCGGTACGTACATGTATACATGTACTTGTATGTTTAATTACTCGTGTACTCGCTAGTCACAAATGTACAATAAAAACGTTATCACAATACAACAAATGATCTTACAATACGATAGTGCCTGAATGAGATCCAATGGCCAATAGCTTCTGAACAGAATCATACGCAAGACAAGACGGTTGATATGGAAAACCATGTTGAAAGGTCTAGCAATAATGATCATTATGTGATTTATAAAATACAATAGCAATTATCACCTGATGGACTTGGAAATCCTTAGGCAGGAGTCTGTCTGGTATCTTAGAGGAGTAGTCCTGTTTTGCATCTCCTCCACTGTTGAACAGGTTCTTGAAAAACGCCATCACTGGAGGGAGAGGAGAGAGGGAGGCTGGGAGACAAAGCAGACAAGGCCGGCTCCTTCTCTGCAGACTGTGGGAGGAGGAACTGGGAGGAAAGACAAGGCATGCACTGACACGATAATGAATGAAGGGCAATGGTCAAGGAATCCAAACCAATAATTGAAATGATATTTCTTTAAGTGGGCGTACGTGAGTAACAGGAATGATGGGTTTTTGAGGCAATCGCCATTTTTAATACTCTCCAAAATGAGACAACCACAGGTATCAAGTAACTCTTTCTTCTCAATGTTGTTGAAGGAGGCGATTGTGTTCATGTTTCGTAGGGGACCAGGAGAAGGGAAGTCTAGTCCAGTAGGCTCTGATCCCACATCAAAAGCAGATAATCCAGGGATAGGAAAGGAGTGCTAATGCTGTAATTGTTCCAATAGCTGCCCCGATAGGGACCAGGTCCTCTCTTAGCTGATACTCTTCAAGTTTCCTCTTCCCTAACTCCTGCCAGTACCCCTGGTCAAGGCTACTGCTGAACGGGAGGAACTGCAACACGCTCACAACTGGCAGCCATTGTATCCTTGCAGCCACTCCCTTTTTCCAGCAAGAAAATTGATTACAAATTTTTTAAATACTTGAAAAATACACAAAAATACTTTTGTGTGATTATTAAAACTATGCAATAACAACAACAACAACAACAATAATAATAGTAATAATACGAGGCATTACAATCAGAAAAGGCAATGAATATTGATTTAATACTCTTTATGAGCTCTATCTGATTGAAGAAATTTGTCCAAACTAGCCTTCACTCTTCCAAATTTATCAGGATAATCTTTACAAACTTGAAGAGCATTCCTCCAGGTCACTCCTTTATTGGACTCAATCCATCTCTTGAATACTGACAGTAGCTTATCGGAGGCTGACTTTTCACTATGAGACAAGTCGTCCACTGCAACTTCAAGTGCAGTACCAATAGTTGAATAATGAGCAGCAGAACTATCAAAGAGCCTATGGAGGTCCTTTAATTTAGGCTCCTTGCCCAAAATGTCTATGAATAAACAGAAAAATAAATTTAATACTAATAAATACTTACCTTCGATTGAAACAGGATGATCTTTTATAAATTCTAATTAATAACATAAATTAGAGATTAACAAATAATGTATACTGTCCCTATTGAATGCATACTAGTGCATTAATAAAACACATTACTACTATGCTACTAGTTATATAAACTGGTTAGACCAGTTAGAACACAAAAGTACAAGACTGATATCAGTAAAACAGGAATACATACATGTACGATATTGTTTGATGCGTGTGTGCTTACCTTTTGCAAGTCCCTCCAGTACTCTTCTCTGATTATATTCATTAATGTCCAGTACTGACTGTACTACCAAATCACCAGTACTAGATACTAATAATAATAATAATAATAATAATAATAATAATATTTCTACATCTAAGTGTATGCATTTCAACCTGTTTTATTTCTATAATAATAATAATAATAATAATAATAATAAGGCCACTCCAATTAAATTAATAGTTTCCTGTTGCAGACGCGGGGGTCATGCGGGCGGGCACATTTTTCATTATTAGGTCCAATTTTTCATTATTATAATTATTTTTATTGTATTTTTTTAATTAAAAAACCATTTTACAATTTTATTTTGAAGTTACCTGATAAAAAAAATAACAAAAATGAGAAGGAAAAAGAACAAAAACTGAAGG